TGGTATCACAGTATATCACAATGGGTATCACATTGTGTATCTTTGTGATTACTTGGTACCTGCCGGATTTTTGTTCACCGGAGGCCGGAGATTGGAGGTCGGAGAGATGAGAGAGGAGAGAGGAGTTTTTTAAAAATACCTAAAATGCCCTCTAATTATAATTTTAACTCAAACTACCATAATTATTAATTTCCTAATTTATTCGTTAATTTGTGGTTGAGATTGATTCTCACAGTTACCACAAACTAATCAGTTCTCTCTTGAATGGGCCCCTATATATATATGGGTTTAATCAAAAGAGAACTAATTAGTTTATGGTAACTGTGAGGTCCAATCTCAACCATAAAATAATAGATAAATTAGAAAATTTATAATTTTGAATTAAAATTTTAATGTAAGGACATTTTAGGTATTTTAAAACTCTCCTCTCTTATCTCTTCTCTCTCCGTCCCCCGTCCTCCGGCCTCCGGCTACCATCCTCAGGTGATACCACGGTGGTATCACAATGCATGTTATATGTGTTTGGGTATCATACTAAGGTCGTTTGTATAGTCGATCAGAGATGTAACACAGTGGTATCACAATGCATCTTATATGTGTTTGGGTATCACAATGTGTCTTTTGTTTAACAAAGTCAATACTTTTAGGTATCATAGTGGTATCACTGAAGAACAGTGACCGGAGGCCGGGGGATGGAAAGAGAAGAGAGGAGAAAGGAGTGAAAATACCTAAAATGTTCTTGCAGTAAAATTTTAATTCAAATTACCAAAATTATAAATTTCCTAATTTATCTATTCGTTTGTGGTTGAGATTGGATCTCACGTTTACCACAAACTAATCATTCTCCCTTGAATGGGCCCCTATATATGTATATATATACATATATATATATGGGTCCATTCAAGAGAGAACTGATTAGTTTGTGATAATTATGAGTTACAATCTCAACCACAAATCAATGGATACATAAGAAAACTAATATTTTTGGTAATTTGACTTAAAATTATAATTAAAGGGTATTTTAGGTATTTTAATTTTTTTTTCTCTCCTCTCTCTTTCTCCTACCTCCAGCCTCCGGCGAACACCATGTGATACCCAAAATACACCAAGATATACAATGTGATACCCAAAACACACCAAGTAAACTTTGAGACCACTGTGATACCAACTGTGGTACCACTGTCACATGTAGGTGTTTAGTGGTAGATCATCGGATATGGCGTTTTGGCCAGACAAGATGACCGAAGGAGGTAACCGGAGTGGTGGTGGGTGCCGAAGAAGGCCACCGGATTTGGTCTGTCTGTGTGTGTATGTGTGTGTATGTGCGTGTGTATGTGTGTTTATATATATATATATATATATATATATATTAAAATAATTAAACTAATTATAGTAAATTGAATAATCAACACAATTTACTAATTTACTC